CCCGAGAACATCACAGCAATCGATCATTACTGCTCCCATCAAAACCACAACAACATACCACCCAAAACCTCACAAAAATTCACAAAAAACAAAAATTGAGTTCCGAAAAAAACGTGGAGCCTAAGGACAGCTTAACTTCCCTATTCATTTCCACACTCCTAAACTAAGCTAAGAAAAGCCAACTTATATTCCTCCAATATCGATCACAACAGCACCATAAACAGTTGTATTAAAATGGCGCCAGAAAGCTTAGCTAAGGAAAGCCAACATACATTCCTTTAGCACCATCAGATTCAACATATACTGCAATATCGATCACAATAGCACTATAAATAGTTGTATTAAAATGGAGCCAATCAAAGACTACCAAAAGTCTCGACCCACTACGAGCAGCGGCCTCATTCCCCCACTTACTCGTCTCAGCTGTTGTACTAGCATTCGACTTCGCCCCATCGCTAACCTTCGGGGCCTTCACAGAAGCTGCTGCTGCGCTACTCGTAGCAGGAGCAGTGACAACCCCACCACTCGGCACCGGTACAGCCTAATGACACTCCAAAGTGTTACCCAGACGAGATTTGACGGAAATGTGGTATGATATTACATCAACCATCTTCTTATCCAACTCCTCAGCCTCGATCTGGTCCAACTCGTTCAACAACTCATCGTCATCCATAATTTGGTTGCCCGAAGACAGAACCTTCCAAAACGAAAATCTACTCCAAGAAATAACAACACCACCAAAATGTACTCGGAATTTTACCAATTTTACATTCAACTTCTACGAGTACAGATCATATTGTATGAGCACCATTCGACACACTGCTCTCGCCAACCCCCCACCTGCGAAACCTCATTCTGCAGATCCTGCTGCTCAGCCATGTCGTCCATGAGCTCGTCAATCTGAAAAATCAAAAAACATAAGTACCCAATTTCAGTGTGGGAAAATATGCACATGATCAACTACAGTCAACAATGTAAAATTCCTGAGGAAATTTCGGAAAATTTTTCCCGAATTCACATCGCCAGTTCTACAATTAGAGAGTAAACTCCCAATTTCAACGAACATATATTCTTCCAACACTGCTCTGCTACATTATCAATATTAAGTTGCTGATTCATAGTCTTCTGCGCCGACACGCCTTGTGACAACGCTTGCACAGCAACTGCAGTCGTTTGACTACTCTCCAAAGACAATATCTGCTGCTCTAGCGTCATACCTGTATATATGAGAAATACAAAACAGCGTGGGGGAAAAATATGCATATATGTTGGTGACAATATGAAAATTCTGCAGAAATTTCGGGAAATTCTCATTCATTCCTATACATTTCTACTCGATTCCTATTATTAGTGAGAAAACTCTTCTGAGCTCAGGTGAGGAAAGCGAACATATATTCCTACTCCAACACTGTATAGGAAACTCCTGAGCTCAGCTGAGGAAAGCGAACATATATTCCTACTCCAACACTGTATAGGAAACTCCTGAGCTCAGCTGAGGAAAGCGAACATATATTCCTACTCCAACACTGTATAGGAAACTCCTGAGCTCAGCTGAGGAAAGCGAACATATATTCCTACTCCAACACTGTATAGGAAACTCCTGAGCTCAGCTGAGGAAAGCGAACATATATTCCTCCTCCAACACTGTATAGGAAACTCCTGAGCTCAGCTGAGGAAAGCGAACATATATTCCTACTCCAACACTGTATAGGAAACTCCTGAGCTCAGCTGAGGAAAGCGAACATATATTCCTACTCCAACACTGTATAGGAAACTCCTGAGCTCAGCTGAGGAAAGCGAACATATATTCCTACTCCAACACTGTATAGGAAACTCCCAAGCTCAGCTGAGGAAAGCGAACATATATTCCTCCAACACTGTATAGGGAACTCCTGAGCTCAGCTGAGGAAAGCGAACATATATTCCTACTCCAACACTGTATAGGAAACTCTTCTGAGCTCAGCTGAGGAAAGCGAACATATATTCCTACTCCAACACTGTATAGGAAACTCTTCTGAGCTCAGCTGAGGAAAGCGAACATATATTCCTACTCCAACACTGTATAGGAAACTCCTGAGCTCAGCTGAGGAAAGCGAACATATATTCCTACTCCAACACTGTATAGGAAACTCCTGAGCTCAGCTGAGGAAAGCGAACATATATTCCTACTCCAACACTGTATAGGAAACTCCTGAGCTCAGCTGAGGAAAGCGAACATATATTCCTACTCCAACACTGTATAGGAAACTCCTGAGCTCAGCTGAGGAAAGCGAACATATATTCCTACTCCAACACTGTATAGGAAAC